TTTATCTTATTAAATGTTGATATTTAGGTTTAAAAATTGATTAAATTCTTAATTTTGAATTAGAATTTAAGTTTTTAAATTAGTTTCTTAATATAGACTTAAACTCTAATTTTTTTTTTTAAGAATCAAAATTAATTCGTACTAACATTAAAAGAAAATAATATAATTTCATTTTAATAATGGCAATGATGTTTTTTTAGTTGTTAACCAAAATTAAAAGATATAGATTTATTACAAAATTAAAAATAAAAAATAAAGAAAAAAATCTCACCACGAAACAAAAATGAAAGCATTATTAAGATGTACAAATGAAAAAAAAAAAAAAGAAGTACAATTTTTCCAAATTGCATATGCCATGTAACTAGTCACATAATCATGCCATAAGATTCTATTAAAAAAACTAAGGAAAGTTAGTTAGATAGATGAATATGAAATGATTTTCATAATTTATAGATGAATTTGAAAGAAATTAAACTATCTAGACTAAAATAAAAATAGAATAATAATTAGTAGATGAAAAGTTAAATTTGGCCACTAATAATAATTAGTTGTTTGAATTTATATCACTCCACAACTTAAATTTTCTCATTAACCAATTCTCCTATGTATAAGAGAATATAATCTTTAAAACAATTTAAAATTCAAACAACTATTCTACATTAAAAAACAATAAAATTACATTTGAAATTTGAATATGTAACAGCCACTTTTGCTGCAGCTTGCGTCCTTTGGCAGCTCTGCAGCCTCTTTGCAGCCTTTCATTTCATTTGCATTTGCATTTCATTTACATTTTATTTCGGCCTCATTTCCTCAACATTTGCAGCTTAGCTTGCTGCACTTTGCTGCTACCGTGCTGTTGGTGCAGCTCTCCCTTCTTCATTTTGGTGCCATTTTGTGCAGCTTTCATTTTCATTTGCTGCTGCTACTTTGGCAGCTTGAACACCACAACTCCAACATATACCTTATTGGATTAAAGCAAGAAAAAGCACATTTACTGATATACATACACCCGTACTCAAAAAGGAGGAAGATATCCAACAACAGGGCTTCTCACTCGATCCTTCATCATACCAAGTCAGAGAACAGAGATCGTATATGATATCTCAATCTTTGCTGTAACTTTCAACACGAAGGATTTCTTTTCCCCAAGAGACTTAAAAGAAAGAACACTCAGTTTGACATCAATTTCAAGCCCTTCTCGAGCAGTCACCACTGCTTTATAAGTCGACAGGGCTGATCCCACGTTTCTTACTGTTCTGTGGAAGACTCTAAGTCACAGATTCCCCAAGCTGGGTAGTAGACATGGTGAAAGAAGGGTAGTTCAGATCCCATACTGTTCCATTTGTTGCTTTAGAACATTTTGTAACATTTACAGTCCTTAAGTTTCAGTTTATCACCACTGTATACTATTCCGCACAGAAATTTAATGTAATCAATCTCCCCAGCATCATAGAGTAAACCAGGATTAATGGCCTTGGCAGGATTTATGTGACCTTCCCCTTATGAAAACTCATTGTCATCTATGTCCTTAGGATTCATGGGAAAAGCTGAAAAATACATTATACTAGTCCTACCACTTGTGAAGTTAAGTTTCAAGATTAGCATAAGCAAACAACTGAGGATGTGAAAAATGGTACCTGTTGTCATTAGAGCAGACTTAATGGCAGAAGGAGACCATGTCGGATGAAATGACTTGATGTAAGCTGTTGCTCCGGATGCATGTGGACAGGACATGGATGTACCAGAGATTATGTTGTATGGCACCACCCTTGGATCCCCTCCAATTCCTGTCACAGTGGTAGCTTCCGACCATGCTGCTAATATGTCAACTCCAGGTGCTGATAAATGAGGCTGTTTTAAATCAAAGAGTTCATGAGTCCATTGGGAGTTTCAGAGCATAAAACAGAAAATCAAATAGAGAAAATTGTTTCATTTCTTTACCTTAATTAACGTTCGGTGTTATAGCATTTGGTCTCCTGGACGAAAACGAAGATACATAGGGAGCAAGTTCATCCTTTTCCAGATTACTCTTGAATATTTTTGCTGTTGGATTTCTGTTGAAACAATATAAAATTGCAATCAAATAACTGACATACGCCAAAAACATTCACACACAGATGAATCATGGTTAGAGAACTTAAGAAGAATATTTTGTTAAATTCAAGTAGTTGAAGACTTTAGTGGCATTATCAGAAGCCATATACGCAGCTGGTAAGATGAAGTTGAAGGCAACATCCGTATATCCAAAGTTTTGCATTATTGCACCAGCAGCTCCTGCAGATGCTAGCCCTGTACCATCATTGACGACATCACACATAACAATTTTCCCTGTTACCAACTTCTCGTCCAAGGTACCATCATTGCAAAACCTGCATTCAAAAATGAACTTAATTGCATCAAACAACACTCAGATAGAGAGTAATTTATTCGTATTATCTTATCACAGCCAGTAGCTGGATTCAGACCATTAACACCATGATTCAGAGCATCTCCAGCATAGATGAAAGGGTACATATCTTTCTTGAGGTCAAAGGTGTTTATATTCCCTACATATCATGTATTATTGTTCTTAGTATATACGGATTGGTATCGAAATCTATATATACGCACAGCATCATATTTACCCCACAAATCTTTCCATTCCCCAAAGTACTTTAGTCACAAAACTTTCTATCTATGGTACTGGCAGCCACAGAGAGAATCCAATGAGCAACTCTAGTGATTGTTTCAGGAAAAGTACCACTGTCACCGGCCAAATTTGATTTTAGCATACCATTCTTCATGGAATGAAATAATCCAATTGCAATGGTGTCCCAGACATAATCCTGAGGAAAGAAACCCCCTACTGAGAGAGATATTATATTAACCCCATCTACGATTGCATCATCAAAAGCCACAAGTATGTCAGCATCATTGCAGCCATCGGACCAACATATCTTGTACACAGCAATGCGGCCTGTGGGAACCGCTCCACGAGCGTCCCCATAGCCAAGCCCCAGCAAGCTCACCCGTTAATAAGGTTACCAGCAGCTGTGGAGGCTGTGTGAGACCCGTGGCCTTCAGTATCCCTCAGGGCCGCAATGT